GTGGGGTGAGGCAGATGTCACCTCCTGTCCCAGGCTGTCACTGCTGGAGGGGACTCAATCAAAGGCAAAGGCTGTTTGTAAAGTCACATGTGCACCGGTGTAGCTTGGAGGTGCCTCATGGAGGAAGGGTGGACATGATGGCCCTGGTGCTTCCCTCTGGCATGCAGCTGAGCTGTAGATGGAGATTTGGCCTTCTTCACTCTGCCCTTACCATCCCCTGCCCCCTACAAGCAGCAATCCCTTTCACTTATTGATACAGTAAGGTTGGGCTGGCCACGGCCCTATTTTGGGCATTTGCATGGAGCTGAGCATCCTGTGCTGGACCCCTTCTGCAAAACCCATTTCCCTCTCACCCTTCCTCCTGAGGTCTTTGCCCATGGCTATGCAGACCCCTGGCCCTGCAATCCCCAGGCTGCTGAGCCCACCCAACAGGGAAGCAGGGTGGTCTCTTGAGGACAGCTTTAACATACCACGGGCAGCCCATAAAACGATGCACAAATCCTTGTGCCAGGGCCATTCAGTGGGCTAGGGCCATGCCTTGAGCAACCATTGCAGTGTCCAAATTTGGTGTGGGACTCTACTGCTGCCCCTGGATCTGATGTTGCTTGTTGGGCTTTGGAAAGAACTTGGTTTTCTCTGTGCTTTTTTTTTTTTCTCTAATAAAAGTTGCCCTTTCTAAGATACTCATGGTCACCTGCTCTGGGATCAAGAATGGTTTGCTTCCCTTCCTCTGATAAGATGAAAAAAGGCAAAAACCCAAGACAGATGTGTTCTGCGGGTAAAAGCAGCCTGAGACTTTTCCCTTCTCATTACAGCATCTTGTACTCAGTGCAGTGTCTGAACGAGCTCATGTTGGGGGCTGCGATGGAGGGTCCAGTCCTCTGCTCACACTGCTTTATCAGCGTTGCCGGCCCTAGAAAGTGACAGCTGACTGGCTTGTGTCAGCCCCTCGGGCACTCGCATATCTCAGTCCAGAGGGTTTAAAATAGCAAATCTCTGAGGCCACACAATAGCTTGGGCTTATATGGGCTCCTGGGGGGGG